CATCCCTCTGATGAGGAAAGGCTGAGGGATTTGGGTCTTTTTAGTCTGGAGAAGAGAAGACTGAGGGGGGATCTCATCAATGCTTATAAATACTTAAGGGGTGGGTGTCAGGAGGATGGGGCTGGTCGTTTTTCAGTGGTGCCCAGGGACAGGACAAGAGGAAATGGGCACACACTTGAATGTAAGAAGTTCCACCTCAACATGAGGAGGAACTTCTTCACTTTGAGGGTGGCAGAGCCCTGGAACAGGCTGCCCAGGGAGGTGGTGGAGTCTCCTTCTCTGGAGACATTCAAACCCCACCTGGACACGTTCCTGTGGGACCTGCTCTGGGTGGACCTGCTCTGGCAGGGTGTTGGACTAGATGATCTCCAGAGGTCCCTTCCAACCCCATGTGATTCTGTGATTCTGTGATTTTTTAAGTTTGTGAGAAGCGTATTAAGACTTTTTCCCAATAAATGGCAGATGTATGAATATTTTGTGTGTCTTCATCTGGCCTCCTGTTGCTTCGTGCCAAGTGTTCTGTGGTGGGACATTGAGTGAGAGGAACTGCAGCTTGGAGATCCTGCTGCTGGGTGTCCAGCTTACCTGGATGCACGGAGCTCGGACGTTTCTGCAGAAGTTCCTCAACGTGTGCTGCTGTGGAGCCACTGACCACACACCCACTGGCATCTCTACGCACGCACACGGAGAACCTCTGGACCTGCTCCAGCACTTCAGTGTCCTTCCTGTAGTGAGGGGCCCAAAACTGAACACAGCCCTCGAGGTGAGGCCTCACCAGTGCCGAGTACAGAGGCACGATGACTTCCCTACTCCTGCTGGCCACACTATTCTTGAAACGAGCCAGGATGCCATTGGCCTTCTTGGCCACCTGGGCACACTGCTGGCTCATGTTAAGCCTGCTGTCTACCAACACCCCTAGGTCCTTTTCTGCCAGGCAGCTCCAGCCACTCTGCCCCAAGTCTGTAGCATTGCCTGGGGTTGTTGTGACCAAAATGCAGGACCCGGCACTTGGCCTTATGAAACCTCATCCCATTGTCCTTGGCCCATTGATCCAGTCTGTCCAGATCCCTCTGTAAACAGAAGAGAGAGAGAAACAGCATTTCTGTTCCAGACACACACATCCCCTAGAGCCAGGTGAAGATCTGGGTGTTTCCTTAATATCTGGAATTGATCCAGTCTGTCCAGATCCCTCTGTAAACAGCAGAGAGAGAGAACCAGCATTTCTGTTCCAGACACACACATCCCCTAGAGCCAGGTGAAGATCTGGGTGTTTCCTTAATATCTGGAATCCCACACTGTGTACAGGCCGCTGACGATATGGGAACAGAGCTCCCAGTTTCTCTAACCACCGCAAAAAGGAAGCAACAATCACTATATTAATAAACTGGCTTTGAGTAGAATGTAAAAAAATTGCCTACACCAGCTCCTCAAACTCACAAAAAGCAAATACATCAAAAAGGTGAAGTGCATTAGAAGAAATCCATGGACCTATGAAGAGTTCCAATTGTACTTCTATAATATGCAGTTACAAGAAACACGTACTTGCAGACAAAACGCTTTTCTGACGCTAAACCTTTATCCCAGTGACCCCAGAGCCTCTCGGGGGAGTGTTTCCCTGACGTGTTGGAGATTTCTCAGAATCCCCACCACATAATTTGAAAAGACTCAGTCTCTTCTCCACCTCTAGCTTTCCAATTATAATTATCTTTTCAAATAGTACTATAATTCCTTTTATTTTTTTTTTTTTTTTTAAACAAGCTTGAAAGATAATAAATGCATGACAATTGCACCCAACATGCTGAATAAATCTGGTTTAGAAATAGTTGATGGGCTTGCTGTGGTACCTGCACACACTCCATACAAAGGGGACTCTGAGTCCGTGCTAACATGACCCACCACCCCTGCACAAAGCCTGAAGGACTAAAATACACATTGGTTATCTGATGAGTAGCTTTACTAATGTCACCTACCTACACTCCATACAAAGGGGACTCTGAGTCCGTGCTAACGTGACCCACCAGCCCTGCACAAAACCTGAAGGACTAAAATACAATTTTTTTTTTTTTTTTTAAACAAGCTTGAAAGATAATAAATGCATGACAATTGCACCCAACATGCTGAATAAATCTGTTTTAGAAATAGTTGCTGGGCTTGCTGTGGTACCTGCACACACTCCATACAAAGGGGACTCTGAGTCCGTGCTAACGTGACCCACCAGCCCTGCACAAAACCTGAAGGACTAAAATACACTGATGAGTAGCTTTACTAATGTCACCTACCTCTCCCCTTAACATATAATTATTGCAATAATCTTTATATATACCTAAATTAACACATGTACACATTCCAGTTGGATGGAGGCCACCGTGCCGACTAAGACAAGTGTCTCAGGGACGTGAGGATGGAGACACCTGCAGAGATCCTTACTGACACCTCCTCCCAACGTGTCAGGGGGAAAATACAAGTTTGTCTTAGACTTGACTTTAGGACTGAACCAAAAGAAAACCAAAAAAAATTCCAAACCAGAACACAAACAAGAGTAAGTTCTCAAGAAAAACAAACTCTTGTTCCTAAACCAGATTGTGTTCCTTGAATCCTTGATCAATCCTTCCATCACTAAAGCCTCACTCAAAATGAAGAACAGAGTAATTGCTTCGACATTCGACTTCAAAACCCCTTTCCTAAAACACTATGTATCGGTAAATTACATGCAAAATATATACAGGCATAGCTATTTAACTCCTTTTAAAAATGTTAATTTTGCTCATTTCTGTAATGACCTTCCATGTGATTTTCTCGATGTGAATCCGGAACAGAAGAAACTCTAAATAACACCAGAAGTGACCAGTGAGATGGAGGGACCAAAAGCAGCTCTTACCAGATCCTCCAGGCAAGTACACAGGGGAACCAGGGACATCACCTTTAAGGTGACAGCAACTCCCTACGCAGCTACTTTCATCATTAAGCTTCCAATTCACACACTCTTTAAAGAAAGTTAATGTTATGTCCTTTTTCTTCTTTTTTCTCACCAATTCCTGCCCAGCAGGGTTTATTTGCCCCTGGCAGAAAGGGCAGAGCGCGGCGTGCGGGGACTGAGAGCATCAAACCAGAACAACACTGACAGAGCACGCTTGAAAATATTAAACAAGTGATAAAAAAAGCAAACAAGTAATTTATGAAAAAAATTAATAAGAGTAATTTCTGCTGGTTTAGATCTCTTATACAACTTTAAGGCACTTACATTTATTAATAAAGCTTTGCAATTACCGCCACTGGAATTCTGTACTCATGCCCTGCATTCACTGACACTTCTGGAAATTCTGAAAGAGTTCCAGGAGAGATTTGAAGTAGTAAAAAAAGTCTTCCCAACTCCCAACTTGTGTCTTTCACTCTGAGTAAGACAGTCGGGCAGGCTGGCTGCTCTGAAAGAAAAATCAAACCACTTCCCCGAGTCAATCAGAAATCTTTGGCTGTGGTGGTGGTGGTGTTGCTCTGTTGTTGTTGTATTTGGTTCTGTTGTTGTTGTTGCTCTGTTGTTGTTGTTGTTGTATTTGGGGTTTTTTTAAAGAAAACTTACAAGTATCCACCTACTGCTTCCTATTGGCTGAAATACACAACACGGCTAGTTTTAGGCTAAAAATAAATTATGACAGAGTAGCCAAAAAATACAATATATGCTTTCCCAGTCCTATTTCTTTGTGATTACATAGGTTCCTCGGTACAATTTCAGCAGAAGAAATTTCAGGAAAGCATGTATTTTTTGCATTAATAAAGCAGCAGCAGAAGGAATAGGAAAGGAAGTGCCCAAATCTCTGCCAAACACCAGCAGACTGTAACAGCCTGCCTTATTTACAATGGAACATCCAGGTATTTATAATGTGGTTACTTAGAATGTACCGTAATCTATGGTTAAAGAAAATTATTCTATCCAAATGCAGCTACATCATGCTAATTGGTTGCTTAGCAATTAATTAAACCTCAAATCTGGGGTCAGAGCCTTTTACCAGCTGTGATAAAGCAGCACCTCTAAAAAAATGAAAACCCAAACCGCCACCTTAGTTTGATTTTTCATATTTACATACACAGAAGTTTTTGCATTGAAAACTTGAAAACCATCTGTACACAGAATACAGCAATTAAAGTTTCCATGAACAAAATCTGAAATTTGCAAGTTTATTTGAAAATCATTACATTAAATAAAGCAGCATTAAAATCCAACAAATGGGGATGACGATGAAGAAGAAAATAATGACCACATAATATTTGCATTCTGCCCTTCCCATATATCTTTTATGCTCGTTGAACCTTTGGTCTCAGTGTAACCTGAAAAGCCTCCAAATTCTGAGTTTACTTCACTTGACTGAAATAATTCCAGTAGGGCCTGCACTGGTGAGCTACAAGAACTTCTCTTCTCCTCAGGCACAGCCAGTCCCTCTGTGTACTTCACACACAACTCCACATTCTGTTTCTGGGCTTCTCTTTTATTTTTTCCCAAGTACAGCTTCACTTTCCTGCGCAGTTTTCCAGAGGGTGAGCTGTGTGCACTGCTGGCAGCCACCTCATTGAGGTCTTTGTTTACAGCAGGATCAGGCACCTCAGCCTCCAGAACAACATCGTGCTGCAGCTGCTGATGCTTATCACAGAAATCACCCTGGTTCTTGACAAATGTAGGATTGGCATCTGTTTTTTTCAAACACTTTGCTGGTAGAACCACTGCATTATTTAGTTTTCGTTTTGGCTGTGAAAGGTTTTTGTCTTTTTCACCAAAATCTGTAATTTGTGTATGAGAATATAAAGTACACACGCCTTCCTGAAAACACTGTATATTCTTTTTATTTACTTCTGCTTCCAGTATTTCTTTACTGAAGGGCTCATAAGCTTGAGGGAAGCTCTCGGCGCACGCTTTGACGTCTTTCTGAGGGGGAGGTTGTATGAAATTCGATGACACAACAGCCTCACTTAAGTTTGAGGCACAGGAGCAAGCAGTTTTAGTATTTTCATCATTATTTCTGAACTTACTTCTCAGTTCTGAAGGTTGTGACAGGTGACAGTAAGGCACTGCAGGGGCAGGCCCTGGCACACAGTTTGGGTGCATTTCTGCCGGCTGCCGACCCGGCCGGAGCGCCCGCGGCCCCGGGTCCTTCCACGAGTAACTCTGCAGTGAAACACGCTGCTTTTTCAGCCGTTCCTTCAGCTCCTCTGGCCTAGTTATCTTCCCAACCATAGGGGAAAAATAGCCCGTGCTACATTTTGTCCTAGAATGGAATTGTTTAAAATTATTAACAAACACTTGAAAGAAATATGGGGAATGTAACTCCTTATGCAACTTATTCTAGAAAACCAACTGAACTGACAAACACATTTTTGGTTTTTACCAAAATTTAAAGGAAGGCTATTCAGGCTAGCAACACACTATTTCTACCAGAACAAGAATGCCTTATTTGAATTTGATGGTTTCCTATTGACTCCTACAGCTCATAAATTTTTTTAAAAACACATGAAGCAGTCTAGTATTTCAGTAAATCTCAATTAACAGTGGTATTAAGAACAAAAGAAGCCAATGAATCTAACATAATGACTATAGATACTTACAAATATTCTATGATCTATACACTCAAAAGTAGCATAATTAGATATGCTTTTCTTGACACAGTATTTCAAACCTAACCACTCAGTATTTTTAAACCACAAAAGGAATAAAGGCTTGCCTTCATTAGGATATCAGTTGTTTGACTCTATTTGTATTTCCTTTGATTTCACTAAGAATATCTTTATTTATTCAATACTTCTTTTTTAAAAAAAGAAATTAGAAAGTTATTCCTTATCTCCTGACTCATTTGCTAAAAAATCAGAGCAATTTTGAATTGAAGTACTGTTCCAAGTAATGAAGACACTGATGCCTACAGTCCAAGACAGCAAACAAGTCCTTCTCTCCCATTTAAGCTTTTGGGCAATGAACAAGAAAGGAAAATCTGCTTTCTTTGTCCAGCACAGGCAGGACAGAAGCAAAGAGGCTTAGAGTACAGACAAGAGGATCTAGATTAGAGTAGGCAAAGTTTTTACCACTAGTAAGGAGATCAGATTAACCAAGGACAGTATAATTTGCAGTTTTTAGGCTACTAAGACTATCAGAAAGTTTTTAAAGCAAGCTGTCCAGAGAGTGCTGTCCTTCTGTCAGCACTTATTTAGTGGATACGGCTTTTCTGAAGCTGAAGGGCAGGTAGGACAACTTTTGGCAATTCCTTTCAGTCTCATTTTCCTGTGATGCCAACTGCACTTTTATGTATTTGTTTTTTCCTAATTTAGGTTTCATAGAACTGATTTGCCAGGTAAAACTTCATTGCAAATTTCAGTGATTTATTTCAGACTGAAAAATACGATTCTGTACCAGATCCAGAGTTTCAAAACTAAGTATCTTTCTATTCAATGTCTTAGCTCAGAGACTTTCAAATTTACGTAAAAAAGTAACTTACCTTTTTATTTTTTTTGCGTCATCTTTGTATTCAACAAACTCATAAACAAACTTTGAAATTATATCATCAACAACTTGATACTGCGTGCTTTGTGCAAAATTTCGGTGCTGTTCACTTTCAAGATGCTGGAATTAAAGAAAAAACACGAAACAAATTTAACTCTACAGCCATGAATATACAAGTCAACAGTATGATATTTACTTACTGCTCCATGTCATTAATTTATTGCCAATGTCTCTGAGACATGAGCTATTAGTGTCTTCAACTACCATAGAGGCAGCAATCAAGAATTAAAACCTACAAGGGAAAAAAATATCCACTTGCTGTTTTTTAGGACGTGTATTCAGAAATCTTTTAAGGCAAAAAATACATTAAACTAGAAAGTAGAAACCATTGTTGATACCACACTTAAGAGATATGACCGTATCAAAGCATACACTTGACATTTCACTTACTGTTTGCAGATCTTCATATTTCTTCCCACAACATTCACAATATCCTTTCTTTTTCTTGTCCTTCTGAGGGAGCTGAACAGGAGTTCCGCAGTCCTTGTCACTATTTATTTTGTTTCTGTTAACAGAAAAGTTGTATTAATGAGTCTCCAATATGGAGCTGAGCTCTATACTTGCCTATCACAGTATGTTTGTTCTTATTCCCCAAACTGAAATAAACCAACCCACCTCTCTATTTCCCCTCAAACTATTCATATAATGTTAGTCAAAGCTCAGGAAAACAAAGAGAAAAAATATGCATTAATTAAAAAAAGAGAAAGATTTACTGCAACAGGACAGGCAGACCCAGTGGAACCATATGTAAGCATAAAGCATCCAGGTTAGTACAGAGGCACTACTATCACTGACTCAAAATAAACAATGCAAAAATTGCTAAGCAAAAAACTCTCCCTTGACAAATCAAAGGATACACTGAAATCTCTGCACAGAGCTGGTAAAAGGCTTGATAAAATCAAAACTAGAAAACAAGAAAAAAGTCTTCTAACATCTCATTGACTGCCAGTATTTCTAACGCCAAGAAAACAGGCAGCAAAAGCACTTGGTCTAACAGATGAACTCTCATTCTTTGCTAGAAGTGAAGAACAATTGTATTCATTGGTTATATGTATCTTTTGAATATGCTGACCAAACGCCAGCTTGTCCTGTTTTTCTAGGTAGAGGCTAAGTGGAAATGTGAGACAATGGACCTCAATTCTTCCTGGAGATCAGTCTAGGCAGCAGCTTTCAATAGCTGCCTCCATGACCTTCAGAGTCCTTACCCGGGGAGAGCTGGTTTGCTGCAATTGGTACTGACCCACCTCAGGACGATGCGCTAACGAGAAAGCAAAACTGTCATTCTCTGCTTCCCATTCACTTCAGAGTAAATAGTGCCATCTCCCTGTCTGGCCAAAAATCCTTCTGACAGACTTTACCAAGTATCTCCATAGATGTGTACTCGGGCCTTTACATCAATAAACCTGTCCTGAAAAAAATCTCTTAACTTACAAAGCATAGGAATGTATTGCTCAGTATAATCCATGTAGACTAGTCCAAATTGGAAAAATCTGCCCCAGCGTTTGCTGGGTTCCACAGGAAAGGCTCCACCTCCCCGTCTACTCCTACTCCTACACTAGCCTTTTCATCTCCCCTCTTCAGAACTGTCCTGGGTTCCACAGGAAAGGCTCCACCTCCCCTCTACTTCTACTCCTACACTAGCCCTTTCATCTCCCCTCTTCAGAATTGTAAAAATCACAATAAACCAGTAAAGCAGGATATTAGCAAAGGCATTTATCATCTGAAGACTGAATAACGTCTGCTGGTTTTGCCTGATGCAGAAGCAAGGAGAACTGACAACTCAGTTGCAACAAGTTTTTTTTCCCAAATAAAGTCAGAACAAGCAAACACTCCCCTTTCTCCTTCCTGAAGCTGACATTCCTCACATTTACCTGCTGAGTATGAAATAACCTCCTACCTAAGTATCTCTTTGGCATGTGCCAATCTGAAACATTAAATAGGAATATTCATTCAAACATAACTCCTGAATTTTTTAATGTATATATATTAAGGAATATTATATATGAGAAGTATACGAAACATTAAATAGGAATATTCATTCAAACATAACTCCTGAAATTTTTAATGTAAATATATGAAAAGTATATTGTCTTCCCCCCCCCAACCTTTTTTTATAATGCTTTAAAAAGAATGGGCCTTTCTAGGCCCCTCTGAAGAGACAGCATTAGAAATTGTCTTTTTGTTGCAAGAGTTCCTGCTTATTATAGTTCCTTTGCTTTTTCATACTGCTTACATTCACTGCAATTGAAAAAATAAAAAAATAAAATTCATCATGGCAACCTCAGCTGAAAACATCCAACAGTGTAGAAGCTATTTTATGAAAAAAAACAAGTATCAAACCTAAGTACATCTTAGACCCCAAGGACTGAAAAGCAGCAAAAGTTACTAGATACTGAAAGTTCCACATACAGCAAAGCTACCTTTCACCTAAATATCTTCTATCAATTTTAGAAGTCAATGAATCATTATTACTCCAGATATGCTAGGCAGAAGAAATTCAAAACAATAGTTTGATTCATCAAAAAAACAGGTAATTAAGACTCCTAGGTAGTTTCAAATCATAAAATTGATTTACTAAAAGCCCTAGTTACACCTGGAATGCTCCAATAGAGCCTAAATGCCAAAACAGATCATATGAACACGTGCTGCAAGACCAACTGCAATTCTACTGGGCAGTTGGCATCCACTTTTCATCTCTGGGGAGTTGAAGCAGTATTTGCAGAGGCTAATTTCAATAAATTAGACTTTATCAACAGTGTGCTCTCTTTATCAACAATGGTTTTTGCACTGTGACTGAATATAACTGTTTTTAAAACTTAACTGCCTACTTTCGCATTATACTGACAAATATCAAAAGAAGTCTGAAGCAATCCACTTCCTATAAAATACTTACTGGATGGTATCCAAGATGAGGACAAAGAAGAAACCAGTGGCAGAAAGGGAAAAATAAATCTTATGCTGACCCACAGTGATAGAAGGAGGCCACATTTTTTCATGTATGCATCTGTATGTCCAAAAAAAGGACTAAAGACAGGAGAAAGAGGGTACAGAAAGATTGACAGACACCAGCAGTTACAGTGCAGCAAATACAGCAGCTGAGACACGAATATTAGTATTAAGTATCACAGAAAATTAGAAACAGATCACTTCTTTTAGAAAACAATTACTTTAGAATTATTTTAGAGAACCACCCTCTCCTCTATCCACACCTCAGTAATAAGTTTTCAACAAACCTTTGCTTGGACTGAGTTTGCCTTTGACCAGAAGGATGCTTCTTATCTACCTCAAATGGACTATAGGGTTTTGGGACACAGTAGTTCAGGGCTGGAAAACTGGGTAGCTGCAGATAGAACGGTCGGTAGCGGCTGTATCAGACAAAACAAGCGCATTAAGACCATGAGAAGTGGAAAAAGGATTTTATAGCACAAACTACAATCAGGTCAAACGTCTCGAAAAAGTGTTTCTCTTTTACACATAACGTAGACAGAATGCTAACCAGATAAACTCCTTCCTTCCTTCATTCTTTCCTTTATATAAACTTGGTACTTTCTCAAGATAGATTTGCCTTGAGTTTCCACAGCAGTTTTACACATTCCCTGGGGTATGACCTTCATGCCTATTTACTATTGAGAGCTGGGTAACCATTAGAAAAAAGAACAACTTGGATGATGGTGCACCTGTGTTCCCGAGAAATAGATGGAGCAGTTCCCAACATCCAATGCATTACTTTTTTTTTTTTTTTCCATTATGTTACTATTTTCTTCCTTTTTGACAAATTTTAATCATGTCACCATTCAAAATATAAACCTCGACTTTTCATTTTCCAGAAAGATAGTTCATAGAATGGGCTGGGTTGGAAGGGGCCTTAAAGATCATGGAGTTCCAACCCCCCTGCCCTGGGCAGGGACACCTCCCACCAGACCAGGTTGCCCAAAGCCCCATCCAGCCTGGTCTTGAACCCCTGCAGGGATGGGGCAGCCACAGCTTCTCTGAGCAACCTGGGCCAGTGTCTCACCACCCTCACAGCAAAGAATTTCTTTCTGGTATCTCATCTAAATCTCCCCTCTTTCAATTTAAAACCGTTACCCCTTGTCCTGTCACTACTCTCCCTGACCAAGAGTCCCTCCCCAGCTCTCCTGTAGCCCCTTCAGGTACTGGAAGGCTGCTCTAAGGTGTCCCCGGAGCCTTCTCTTCTCCAGGCTGAACAACCCCAGCTCTCTCAGCCTGTCCTCACAGCAGAGGTGCTCCAGCCTCTGATCATCTTCATGGCCCCCCACTGGACCCGTTCCAACAGGTCCATGTCATTTCTGTGTTGAGGACTCCAGAGCTGGACACAGAGCTCCAGGTGGGGTCTCACCAGAGCAGAGCAGAGGGGCAGAATCTCTCAACTTGCTGGCCAGGCTTCTTTTGATGCAGCCGAGCATGGGGTTGGCTTTCTGGGCCACCAGTGCACACTGACAGCTCATGTTGAGTTTCTCATCAACCAACACCCCCAAGTCCTTCTCCTCAGGGCTGCTCTCCAGCCATTCTCCACCCAACCTGTATTTGTGCCTGGGATTGCCCTGATCCAGGTGCAGGACGCCCCACTTGGCCTGGTTAAACTTCATGTGAGGTTCACATGAGCCCACCTCTCAAGCCTCTTCAGGTCCCTCTCGATCGCATCCCTTCCCTTCAGCATGTCAACCGTGCCATGCAGCTTGTGTTGTCGACAAACTTGCTGAGGGTGCACTCAATCCCACTGTCCATGTCTTCAACAAAGACATTCAACAGCACTAGTCCTAGTACTGACCCCTGAGGAACAGCACTCATCACTGGTTTCCACTTGGACATTGAGCCATTGACCACAACCCTTTGAGTAGTTCTCAACAAAAAGTTGTTGAGAACCTCAGCCTTCTCCTTGTCTGTTGTTACCGGTTTGCCAGTCTTGCTCAGCAGTGGGGGCATGCTTTAACCTTCCTTTTCTGGTTGACATCTTTGGCAGCCCTTGTTATTCTTAGCATCCCTTGCTGGGTTCAGCTCCACCCGTGCCGTGGTCTTCCTGACCTGGTCCCTACATAACCAGTCAGCCTCCCTATACTCTTCCCAGGATACCTGATCCTGCTTGAACTGCCCGTGCAGTTCCTTCTTGACTGACCGTTTAACCAGCAGGTCCTGACTCAGCCATGCTGGTCTCTTCCCTTTCTTTCTTGATTTCTTATACCTGGGGATCGAGAGCTATTGTGCTGTGGAAAGTGTCTTTAAAGATCTGCCAGCTCTGTTCTGCCCCATTGTCCATAGGACCATTTCCCAGGGGGTCCTTTTGACTAACTCCTTGAAGAGCTGGAAGCTTGCTTTCCTAAAATTCCTTGTCTGTCGTGTATCCCTGAAGACTGCGAGCTCCACCAGGGCATGATGGCTGCAGCCCAGGCTGCCCCCATCTTGACATCCCTGATGAGCTCACTTGCACTGGTGACCATCAGGTCCAGTATCACATCCCTACAGGTAGGGCTGTCTATTTCCCGTCTTAGGAAGTTATCCTCGATGCACTCCAGGAACCTCCTGGATTGTTTACAGCTCACTGTGTTACTTTTCCAGCAGATGTCAGGGTGGTTGAAATCCCCCAGCAGGATGACAGCCTTTGAGCATGATGCCTGCTGGAGCTGGAGTAAGAAGACTTCATCAGTAGGCTGCCCTTGATGAGGTGGCCTGGAGTAGACACCAACCACAAGGTTCCCCTTGTTACCTCGGTCTCTAATTCCCACCTGTAAGCTTTCCACTTCCCCTTGGCTATTCTTCAGGAACATCCCCTCACACTCTATCCATTCCTGCCTCTGCCCCTCCTTCCCTGCCTGGCCCTTCTGAACAGCTCGTAGCCATCAACAGCCACACCCCAGCCATAGGATTCATCCCACCAGGTTTCAGTGATGGCCACCATGTCACAGCTTTCCAGCAGCACAGTAGCTTCCAGCTCCTCCTGTTTGTTACCCACGCTGCCTGCGTTTGTGTAGAGGCACTTCAGCTGTGTCACCTTCTTAGAGGAACAGTCCTTGAGTTGTTTCACAGGCGTTTCCCTCAGGAGGCCCTGAGGTGAGACTTGTTTCTGTCAGACGTTGGCTGCAGTGCAGTGTCCCCAGCAGGCCGCAGGGCAATGGCCTGAAGGCCCTTACTAGCCCCCGTCCCTCTAACCCTGATGTGTTCTCCCACAGCTTGTCACAAACAGTGAAACAGGGCATTCCACAAGTTCACACACTGAATCACTGCACTGAAATGCTAATGCCAGAGTTCAGTCTCTTTTTTTCCCCCACATCACTACTGTAAGCTGCCCAGGCAGAAGAAAAAGAGCACATCTGCAAAACATACCAGGGACAGCTAAGCATCTTGTTCTACTTCTGAACTGTTACTTATGTTGCATAAACATTTAAACATTAAAAAACATTATGTTACATAAACATTTAAAAGTGTTTCAGGGGTTTGGTACACAGCTACATTCAGAAGTCAAATTCACACATATTTATATACGAATTTCTTGTACTTACAACTGTGTCCAGTTCTCCCCACTATCCTCATGCCCCTCATACCTATTACACCAATTCACAGTGTAAGGCCAGGTTTAGATCTCTTTTTTTTAATTGAGGAAAGTGTTAAAGAAATCAGGTCAAAGAATTTTGAGTTTATAAACATCACCATAAAGCAGAAGTTAGTTAAGAATATAACAGTGCAAAACATGCTGTGCAGAACCGCACTTTTTAATAACTCCTTGTTGTCTCAATTTTGGACAAACTGGTATTTCCTTATGCACCCAGGTCTGACCAATTACAGGACCAGAAAGAAGTGAAAATTTTAAAGGCTGAAAATACCAGATTTCATGCTAATGTGGATATTGAAATCAGATCAATACTTTTGGGTTTTCTCCTTTTAAGAAGAAATGACTGAACAGGAAATTAAAACCTAACTACAAGGGATGATTTTAACTGTAACAACTTCCCTTTCCTTAGATCTAAACAGTCTCTGCAGGAGACTCATATCATGGAGATGGAATTTAGTGTACAAAGCTTCATTGGCCTTTTGGGCCATAGGATGTCAAAGTTCGAAGCTTCCAGATTTCCTTTTCATTCTTATGGCAGAAAGTAACCCAAAGGACCCAATACAAACTGGACCTACAGAGTAACTTTCCACTTCCATTACTTATTACAAATATCCCCTACTATTTTACTACCTGCTCCATCTCATCCAGTGGCTAAACACAGACACCGACCCCGAGCACGCAGAGACAAAAACTGTGTGTTGTGTTCTAAGAGGACAGCACGCCTGGCCTCCAGCCAGGAAGGTGAAGGAAACTGAAATCTGAATGCCACTTCCTCAAGGCATACCAAATGGTTCTGAATTACACAGTTTGAGAACCACATTATTGAATTCATGAAGAGAACACTTACCGACTTCTATCTTCCACCTTGACAAATGGATTTTTCAGTCTACCTGCTCAAGGGGGAGAAAAGGAAATTAAGAGAGAAATACTTTCTTCATTCAGAAAGCTACTCCAGTGGCTGAAGAAATAAGCAGACATTACTTTAGAATTCTTCATGTACATGTTTGGACAAATTCTCGATTCACATCAAGTTTCTTTACATACAAATTAGAATAACAGCAGCACACTTGACCAGATGAGAACTGTAGTACATTTTTAAGCATTCAGAACATAAAGCAAAACAAAAAAAACCTCTACAAGTACTGAAATACTTACTTTTTGACTTCGGAGCAGTAACCTGTTTTCCCTATTGAAAAGAAGAGAAAAGATATAAAATCCATGTGAATATTATTCTGCATTTTACTAAATATTTAGCTACAGCTAATTTTAAGTGATGAGGTTTACTTATGTGTTATTGTGTTACTCATGACTTCATATACAGTCGTGATAAATTTTGCAGGAAATTAAGCTCATTAGTACTTCAGAAATATGGTGACATGTTTCACACAGAAATATTTACTTCTACACGGGGGGAAAAAAAAAAAAAAAAGTGTTCTCCTTGAGATGTTTCAATTTATTTTTCCTAAAGCCAAAACCAAACAAAAACCCCACACAGGTAAATTTATTCACTTACTCTCTCTTCTCCCCCAAAATACCTTGCCATGGTTGAAAGTTTATTCATTCTTAAATACAGACAATGTTTTTACAACACTTTATAAATGCTAATTAAGTACAAGCTATAAAAATCCACCAAAATCTGCAGATAGCAACATCCTCCAATTAAAACAATTAGTACATTTTTAAGCATTCAGAACATAAAGCAAAACAAAAAAAACCTCTACAAGTACTGAAATACTTACTTTTTGACTTCGGAGCAGTAACCTGTTTTCCCTATTGAAAAGAAGAGAAAAGATATAAAATCCATGTGAATATTATTCTGCATTTTACTAAATATTTAGCTACAGCTAATTTTAAGTGATGAGGTTTACTTATGTGTTATTGTGTTACTCATGACTTCATATACAGTCGTGATAAATTTTGCAGGAAATTAAGCTCATTAGTACTTCAGAAATATGGTGACATGTTTCACACAGAAATATTTATTTCTACACGGGGGGAAAAAAAAAAAAAAAGTGTTCTCCTTGAGATGTTTCAATTTATTTTTCCTAAAGCCAAAACCAAACAAAAACCCCACACAGGTAAATTTATTCACTTACTCTCTCTTCTCCCCCAAAATACCTTGCCATGGTTGAAAGTTTATTCATTCTTAAATACAGACAATGTTTTTACAACACTTTATAAATGCTAATTAAGTACAAGCTATAAAAATCCACCAAAATCTGCAGATAGCAACATCTTCCAATTAAAACAATTCTTCTAAATTGATTAGAAGGAGTATTTTTCTTCAGAAAAGAGTAGAGTCTACATTCAAGCATCAGCTGTTAGCTATAAATCATTCTGGTAAAGGTACAAATTCATATTTTATACTACTTGTAAAAAAAAAACCAACATCTTGCTATCCACAAGCCCTGATGACTTAGCAGAGGATTTCATGAGGCCTCAATAATTAGCCAATATTGCATTCCAAACCGACATCACATTCACTAGATGGTACGTTTCCATGTACTTATCCCAGCCCCTTGCCTAGACCAGCTAATTGCACAACTTCACGTGTTTAATCCATGTTACAGAGCAACTGCAGAAGGTGCACACAAGCAGCTAAAACAGTTTCAGTGTCTCGCTATATCATACACTAAAATATGGAGAAATTGGGATTTTCATATGCCGACTGCACATTATCGCAAAATAGCTGAAAGATGCATTATGCTAGTTCTTTAAAAGACTAGGAAAGAAAAGATGCAGAGTTGAGCAACTGACACATAGTGCCCAGAGACAGCTTCTTCAGGAAACATAACTGTGATTCTTCAAAATAGTCCATCAAAAGGAAAGGGTTTCTAATCACCGTGCCATAGGAAAAATTGTACAAGGCAATGTAAGCATTACAATTTTCTTTTTATTATTTATTATTTTTGAGGCAGGCAAAGAAATTTTAATTTATTTTAAATTTCAGACAGTTCATTTCTTCTGATTCTCAGATATCCTTTGCAAAAGCAAAGAGCTACACATTATTTAATCGGAATTTATTTTTTAATAATGCTGAAATGTATAGTTAATACTTTCTATTTTTCAAAGACCGTTTTTAAATCAATTCATAAAACATACTTGTCTGTGAAAAACTGAACATGAGCAGGACTTTATAGAAATAAAATCTGTAAGCTTCACAGTAAGTAATATTTAGTACACCCATGTTTTCTCAGTTAATGAAACATTTTCACAGTTAATGAAGCATTTTCACAAACGGCAAAGAACACTTACCACATCTTTAAAAGAACTGCCTGCTCTTTTGGTTAGGTAGAGCTCCTTTTTCTTTTGTTCAATGTAATTCTTAACTTCTGGCAAAAAGAAGGAGAATTATACTCAGCTAGCTGAGTTTTTTTTTGTATGTTTGAAGGAATTTGTTACTTTGAATATTTTGAATTCATCAAAAGAATAAGTGAATGTAATAAGTGCAAGTAAGGCTTCAACAAACAAAAACACTTACCATCAATATGAAGTACCTTCACTCCCCAACTCAAAGCACTGGATAGTATACTGCCAGACGGGATTAAGTCCTGCAAACAATAAATTATAGTAATAATTTTAAGCAATACATGGTAGACTATGTAGAATATTTTAAAATATATTACAACATGCAATATGAAAGCTGAGATCAAAGCACAGATGCCTTGCTCCTTGCCAAAAGACTTATCATTCTCCTCAACTGATTTTTCCATCTCCGTGTCACAGCATTTCACCGTCAAAAGACTGTATTTAACCTTTGATAAAGCCAAAACTGTTCTCTATTGTCACATTGGGTAGTAACTAAGATTTGAAGACAGTGATTTATACATTTATTTTAATTCATAAGCACCTCTCAAATTCTATCTACATTAGCAATCCTGATAAATTGTAATACTGGTCGTAAGACTCCACAGACTTTCAATTCTCCAGGCAGAAAGCATGACCTGACAGTTTTATTTAGGACAGTCCCTTGACTTCTGTCTGAGCATTCCATGAGGGAATTCTCTCTTAGACCTCTAAGACCATTCTTATTAGCACTCGTTTTCTAGAAGAGAAAAAGGAAAGTTTCTCAAGCCCCAATTCCTTGATTACTTGACTTACCTGCTCTTTGATTGCTTTTTCAACTAAGGATTTTCCTCTGCTCATCCGTACCTATATTAAAACAGAAACACATTTGTAGCAAGTTAGAACTCATTTCAAAAAAACAAAAGGTAAGACAATTTACACTGTTGCTAACAAATACCTATTTTAGCTACGATAGTCTTTTTTTTAATTGTACTTTTTCGTTAATTCACATCTTCCCCACAAGGTTCAGGTAGATAACAATCTGGGGGAAAACAAAACAAAAAAAAAAAGAAAAAAACCCCACCACATAGTCATTTTCAGCCAAAGCAGGTCACTGCATGGCTGAAGCAATGTCAGGGCAGGAACAAAAAAAGATGGTGGCAATAATTAGCCAGTGGCACACGCTCACGTTAGAAACTTCACATAAACCTGCAAAAATTCAGATACTAACGGCCGTAATTAATGTTATCCTCTTAAAAAGAGCTCAGAAAAACTTCATATTCATAATGTTTGATTTTAATGATTTCCTTGAACTGCTATCAAAGAGCACTTCTGCAGATCTCTGCATTACCAACACCACAGCAGCCAGATGTTAACAGGCTGTGCTGCTAAAGCCACAGGAACCACTGGAGGCCAGCACAAGCCTATCAATACTGATCCAGCTGTCAAACATCACCGTTTTTTAACAGCGATTAATTATAAGTCAGGCATACTGGATTAAAACAGATTTTAGTCTGCTTCTTTGCAGGAAAGGTTCCTTTTATCAATTAGTTTTTGAAACTTTGCTTAATTAGTTTGAGTTAGTTAAGTTTAACAAGTTAGACTGAACTAGTTTAAAAGTACGTCTGACCTGTTAAAAAAAATAAAATTAAAAGCCCCAAAACCTTATTCATACAAGAAACTCTTGTGATCTTTAGGAAACAAAATAGGAGGAAAACTGTAAGAGCATATCGCATGGGTTGTGCCCGATTTGCAGTATTATTACTAAGAAACTTACTGTATCTACTATTTTAAATGAACTTGAATCACGTCGATCTTTTCGGTTGCTAGGATGAGGTGAACCATTTCCTCCATTACATGCAGATTCTGGGCTTGGAACAGGAGAAATCTGACCAAGAGTTGGTGCAAATTTTGCTTCCTTTTTATTAGACACCAGATAGCTGATATCTTTACTAAGAAAGCTCTCCACTCTCTAAAGATAAAGATATAGAGCAAGTAATTATTTCAGGACGATAAATTAGTACTCATGTTTACATAACTACTTTAAAGAAAAGTGACAAAACTTCTAAAATACTTAAGTCAAATACACTGGATTAATAAGAAGATATTTTCTAAAGATCTGGATAACAAGCACAGTTGAGCTGTAATAGCCTCTTACCAGTCACAAAGTCTAATTTCAATTTCTTAATTTTGTAATCTCTTTCATAAGAGCTTTGCTTTATTTTGATTATTATCATTCTTTCATCTATCTAGCTGCAATACTTTCCAAACAGAAGAATTCAAACACTGCATTGAGAAATAATGGAATAATTCAAGGAAAATCGCACTTAGATAATTTTATGTAACAAAAATTCAAGTGTTCAGATAAACTGAAAGGCATGTGTACACTTTGCAAGAAGCTATACATTCACTGAGTCTAGAGCCAGCAGAAAAATTGAAATTTCAGGATAGTTACCATGTTTCACACCTACAGTATTCAGAACACTTCTCATAAATGTAGAAGACTTCAGTAGATTCATAATATTTTCATACTCAGCATGACAAAAAATGTAGTTATCCTATACTTATTCTCTTCTATTTTGCTCCTTCCGTTACCAACCCCGGTGTGATTATTTGCCTTGTTACTTGGTACCAGTTTATGTAGCTTAAAATGTTTTCCTCTCCTCCACTACTCAGCCTGGGAAGCACAAATGGTACAGGCAGCAAGGCTGAACCTGTGCCTTCCAACTCTGCTCTGTGCCTTTTACAGAGGTGGCACAAACAGAGAGAGGCACTTTTGAGCGCGCTCCACGCAAGACCTGTGGTAGCTGCTCATGAGGATGCTGACCATCTCAGATTTAGGCATATACTCCTCAGACTGAAACAGAAAAACTTCCTTTTTAGTCTTTGATTTGCAACCTTACCTTTCATATATGAATTCCTAAAATTCTGTCTTAGAGAGAAAGGCAAGAGATAGCAAAGAAATGCATTTAACTTGAAACTATGTTATTATTATTCCTTGCCTCTATGTTAATTTCAGACAGCATCTTGATTTACAAACATCACTTTCACAGAAATGCTCGGTAACCCTCTGAGCTCACAGAAGTTTTGCCAAAGCAACATTCAGAATAGCTAACAATTTAAGCAGACCCCTTTTGCTTCTGTGGTTAAAGGCTGTTTAATACTTCAACTGCCAAGATTCCCCTACGCTAATTCAAAATATTCAACTTTAAAGTCGATTAAGCAATTGCATTGCTTCTGTGTTACTATGATAGCCTCTACTTGCTTGTATCAAACTGTTTCTTCCATAGAGAAGAGAGAATTAGGGGGAAAAAAAAAAGGTATGAAGATGCTTTTACAATTTACAATTTAAATAGCGGTATTTAAAAATACTCACTAACATACTCTGTGCAGACACTACTTACTGAAGCTACTGACTTTCAGGAAGCATATACAAAACACTTCCTCTAGTCTATTTCAGATTCAGCTGAACAACTTTATTTGTAACATGTAAATCTGTCAATATCATCAGAAGCAGCAGAAAAAAACATAAATCACCTCTAACCATGAAACTTACTAAATTTGGATAAAATTTTAAGCAAATGAATAACCAATTGAAAACCAACCCTTATAATAAAACCACTTTTTTTACAATTAGCAAAGCAGCTTCTAGCAAAAAAGCACAGAAGAGTTTGTTGATAAGCTAATTGTTTGTATTAAACATTAAGACAAACATAAAAAAATAAAACCCCATCATGTACAAAATATGAGTAACATTACAATGCAGTCACAAAGAACACAGAAAAGGCATTCTACATGAGCAGATTTTCTTCTAGTTTCATAAGGGTCTCTGCTCATTAGCTTACCCCTCCTAGCTCTTTGAGGTCCTTCCCTATTTTTTCAGAGACCACATTTGACGGAATATCGAGGTAAAACACCTTCCCGGTGAGTGGCTTATATTTAAGTTTCTCTGGTTTTCCTGTATCTTTTTTTACATTCTTCAGGGAAGATCTTATCTTTTCTGATTTTGCTTGCATTCCATCTGCTGCAAAAAGAAAAGGGAATTTAAATAGGACTGTGTTTTATGAAATGTGTTTATTTTTCTCTTTTCAAAAAGGAAAATTCCTACATTGTAAAAATGGACAAGACAAGCCTTCATGCAATACTGGACTTTTAAAAAACAGCTGTGTGTCAAACACACATATCAAAACCAAGACATTAATAATAATACCACATATAGCCTGTAAAAATTTCTTTTTAAAATCATATCCTAAAATGGACTTTTTATTTCACTTGCTACACAATGCCATCAGTTTTCTCACCCAGACTGTCAAGTATTTGCTCTCTCTGTACCACAGTGCACACACTACCTGCCCTGATAATCACAAGAACACCATTTAAGAACAGAATCTGTCTCTCATTCACCTGAAACAAAAAGGATTCATATAGACTAATTAGAACAAAAAACTGTCAAAAATAACTGAAACACCAAAAAATGCAAGACCTAGATCCTACTATTTATCTGAATTTTGAGCATTAACGCTGCATCTTAATGCAGGAAAACTAAGCTTAAATTTCAGAACCATTCTAGTTATGACCTCTCTTTCTGTCCCAGGGAATTTTACTCTAAAACTAAGAAACCATGTACAGCAATTAAACTGTGCTGATAAACTTTCCTGATGCTCAAGACAGAGCTATCCATGCAGGCCTAACTGTTAAACTAGATATTTAAATAAGCAAATAAAAAAAAAAAATACAGTCTGTCTGAGCCTCATTTCTCAAGGGAAATCTTGGAGTGTGGCAGAGTTCTACAACATCAGCTCAATTATTGAGTAGTAATCACAAAAGAAAAAAATTAGAAATTGCTAAAAAACAAAATAAACTGGATAATTTTCTCTTGCCCCTGAATAAATGCAGGACTCAGTCACTCTGAGAACAAATAGTTTTCTGCACAATATATTGTTAATTTCAGAGTTAGAAGAGGCTTAGTTAAGAGTACAATTATTGAACAGAAAGTTGGTTCTGTTTTACCTCAAACCAGGACAATATTAAATACAGCCTGCAAAAGAGTAACAAGGATGATCAAAGGCCTGAAGAACGACCTTGTACATTAAGACTTTGTCATCTGTAAAGTAAATGATTTAGGGCGAAAAAAAATACAAATATACAAAATCAAGAAGAACTTAAGAGAGAATGATTAAACAGCCCATTCCAGCAGAAGAGCTATGGGGCACCAAACAAAGCTAGAAGTCAAGTACAAAATTAAAAATTAATTAATTCTCTATACAATAGGGCAACCCTGTGCAGCTTGCTGCCAAAGGATGCTGTCGATACTAAGATGTGATTTCTAGGGGAGGCTGTACTGATACAAGAAGAGGAACATTTTTGAGGGGTCTCAAATGCACTGAATTGACCTGCAACCCATCAAGTTCCTGCACCTAAACACACCTGGAAACCAGAATAATATTATTAGATGAACGCAATTATATCTTCTCTGTTCCCAGATGCTTCCACAGGAATCCATTTACAACCAATGACAGAGCCAGAATAATCCAAGAATCATATATCATTAGTTTTACGTTGTCTTTCCTTTGTCACCGACACCCTACTCCTGGTTGCTTCTCTTCTGGATAAGCTCAAAGCAGACAATGGGGGCTGCTGCAAGATAAGGCTGAACATACCTCTCCTGTAGACAAAAAGCCAGCACGTAAACCAGTCCCTCTGTCACATGTTCTCTCAAAGACCCTGAAATGGCCTTAGATGGCAGAGAGAGCAGAACCACCACTCACACTGCAAGATTACCTGAGGAATGGTTATGAATGGACAGGCTGGAGGGATGGGCTGAGGCCAATGGGATGAGGTTCAACAAGGCCAAGTGCCGGGTGCACCCCTTGGGTGACACCAACCCCCTGCAGCGCTACAGGCTGGGGGCAGAGTGGCTGGAGCTGCCTGGCAGAAAAGGACCTGGGGGTGTTGGTGGACTGTGGGCTGAACAGGAGCCAGCAGTGTGCCCAGGTGGCCAAGAAGGCCACCAGCATCCTGGCCTGTGTCAGGAATAGTGTGGGGAGTAGGACTCGGGAGGTGATGGTCCCCCTGGACTGGGCACTGGTGAGGCCCCACCTCGAGGGCTGGGTCCAGTTTTGGGCTCCTGACCACAAAAAAGACATTGAGGTGCTGGAGCAGGTCCAGAGAAGGGCAACGAACCTGGTGAGGGGTCTGGAGAGTAAGTCTTATGAGGAGAGGCTGAGGGAGCTGGGGGTGTTCAGCCTGGAGACAAGGAGGCTGAGGGGAGACCTTCTCGCTCTCTCCAACTCCCTGAAAGGTGGTTGTAGAGACACGGGGGTCGGTCTCTTCTCCCAAGGAACAGGCGATGGGACAAGAGGAAATGGCCTCAAGTTGCCCCAGGGGAGGTTCAGGCTGGATATTAGGAAAAATTTTTTCACTGAAAGGGTTGTCAGGCATTGGAATGGGCTGCCCAGGGAGGTGGTTGAGGCACCATCCCTGGAGGTGTTCAAAAGACGGGTTGATGTAGTGCTGGGAGACATGGTTTAGTGACGGTGTTGCTTTTTGTTTGTTGTGTGGGTGTTTATTTTTGTCAAAATTAGGTTGACGGTTGGACAAGATGATCTTTGAGGTCCCTTCCAACCTAGAAGATTCTGTGATTCTGTGACAAACACACCCAAGTGAAGCAGGAAGAGCAGTCAGCTTTGTAGAATCGAGGAGACCAAAAGAATTAGAGAAATGGGAAAGCAAGGAGGCTTAGGGGGGTGTAACTGTTCCAGAATCTAAATAAAAAAGATGCACGATAAACAGGTGTGCATGTGAGATTCCGTAGATGACGAGGGATCAAACACAGTGTTACACTCTGCACACACACACGCTACGGCCAGGGGCAGCTCAAAAATAACATGCTAGATGCTGGAATCAATACTAGAAAATACACATTAAGCTTCTTAGGTATAATCAGAAGTTTGGAGGGAGTACTGCAAGATCAGTGCTGAGTCTCTGTGGTGAAGCATTTTAACGCCCTGGGCGTGCGGGGCGGCCCTCACGGCAGGCCCCGGTGCCTGGCTCCGGCAGGGCCCGGCTCCGGCAGCCCCGGCACCACAGGCACCCCCCGGCACGGGGCGAGCCGGACGAACGCCTTTTTCCAGATACACGCTTTTACGTTTAACTCCCCCAGAGTTTAACTCCCGCACAAAGCCAGCCCCGAAGCGCGCTGACCCGCGGCCCGACAGCAGCGGGAGGCCCCAAACCGGTACCAGCCTGACGGGGTGCGGGGGGGAACCCGTCCCGTCCCGTCCCGTCCCGCCGCGCGGGGCCTCGCTCCGCCTCCCGCCAACGGGCGGGCCCGGCGGGCGGCGCTGAGGGAGGAGCGCGGCGGGGACGGAAGGGAAAGGGGTCACTCGGCGTAAGGGGCTGGGGGGAGCGGGAGGCGGGAAGAGGGGTACTGCCGCCTCCTCCTTCCCGCACCTCAGGAGCCGGTGGGCGCTCTCCTCAGGAGGAGCCCCGGGGAAGAGGCTCTTCCCCCGGCCCCGGCAAGGTGGAGGAGCGCCCGGTCCAGCGCTGCCGGCCCCGCCGGCTCCTTCCTCCCCCGGCTCGGGTTCGGGAAGAGAGCGGGTCCGGCTCGGGCACCGCTTCACCCCCCGAGGCGGGGCTCGGGGGTCGGACCGGGGAGGGGGGTGCACTGTGAGGGGTGTCCCCGCCGCCATTGCGGTGCCTGTGGGGATCACAGCCCGGTGGCTGCACCGAAATGGGTGACCTGTGCTGCTCTGGGAAGTGGTTTTCTTATAAATAAGTTTTAGAAATACATCAAAAAAGACAGCCCCGCGGCCCCCTTAAGTTGTTAGTGTCTGAGAGGCGGGTCTTGCTTGATGCAGCATGATCTTTTCTTATATTTTCTTTGAAATTTGGTAAAAATAACAAAATGTGTTCCTGTAGATCGAATAGAAAGCTTGGGCCAGTGTAAAATAATGAAATTAAAACTGCACTTACACACAATGAGCAGTTTGAAGGATAGTGCCTTGATTTCGGTCACACCAACCCCCTGCAGCGCTACAGGCTGGGGCAGAGTGGCTGGAGCTGCCTGGCAGAAAAGGACCTGGGGGTGTTGGTGGCCTGTGGGCTGAACAGGAGCCAGCAGTGTGCCCAGGTGGCCAAGAAGGCCAACAGCATCTTGGCTGGGATCAGGAGCAGTGTATCGAGTAGGACTCAGGAGGTGATAGTCCCCCTGGACTGGGCACTGGTGAGGCCCCACCTCGAGGGCTGTGTCCGGTTCTGGGCCCCTCACTACAGCAAGGACATTGAGGGGCTGGAGCAGGTCCAGAGGAGAGCCACCAAGCTGGGGAGGGGTCTGGAGAACAAGTCCTATGAGGAAATGCTGAGGGAACTGGGCATGTTTAGTTTGGAGAAGAGGAGGCTGAGGGGAGACCTCCTTGCCCTCTCCAACTCCCTGAAAGGAGGGTGTAGAGAGGTGGGGGTTGGCCTCTTCTCCCAAGGGAATAATGACAGGAGCAGAGGAAATGGCCTCAAGTTGCCCCAGGGGAGGTTCAGGCTGGATATTAGGAAAAATTTTTTCACTGAAAGGGTTGTCAGGCATTGGAATGGGCTGCCCAGGGAGGTGGTGGAGTCACCATCCCTGGAGGGATTTCAGAAAGGTGTAGACGTGGCACTTCAGGGCATGCTCCAGTGCCCGGGATTGGGGGGGTCTTTTGTGTGTGTGTGGTTGGACTTGGTGATCTCAGAGATCCTTTCCAACCATGAAGATTCTGTGATTTGGGGATTTTATGTCCTGAAGTGTTTCTGTTTTTATTGTTTTCTCCTGTCCTGGTTAATTGCAGATACTGGGAATACATAAGCTCCTTATTTTTAGGTACTGCGAGTACCTTCCTAAGGTGGTGTAACTTTGCCTGTGCAGCCAAGCAGCAGGATTTGTCAGAGGCATTGATACTTAACGGTGGCATTAAAACTGATTCAGTCACTGTTTATTGCATCAGGAGCTTGCCAGGGGATGTAGTCACCACGAGTAAACTGTTGGATCAACCAGGAGACCTCTCTGGAATTTCTCACAGGAATGGCAGAAGCGAGAGGAGGACTAGATGAATTACTCTGCTGTGCTACAGTTCAGGGACAGCAGGCTGGGAATTTATCTTTGTACAGACTATTTATATGCTCGTAAGGCCTTTGTTGCAGCAAGAGGTAATATATATTAAATATTTAATGTGGTTTACAAAAAAACCCATAAACATTGTAATTCATGTAAGAAGGATTTGAATGATTTACTGTCATTTTGAAAACTTAGAGTATTTACAAAACATGGCGCAAATACTGTTATTTCAAAAATTATAAAGCTGCTTGTATACCCATAGAAGACTAATATTTACACTTTTGCTCCTTATACATAATGTATTAATGAAAATTTAGGGTATTTTTTCCTTTGATTTTTCTACAAGCTTTGAGCGTAGTCTTGAAATTTGTTTTTTTGTTCCTTAACAGGTTTCTCTTCTCCAGGGATAAAGCTGTGGCTGCAGTGAGTGACAGCGATTTAGATAAACCAGCCATTATTCAGCAAGCAATAGCCTCTCGTTGTGGTGCTATAATGACATGGTTATTTGGTAAGGCAAACTTTCAGGATTGCCACAGAGAGAATCTTTGCAAAGTGATTACTCTTCAGTTTGTCTCAACATTGATGTCTGCGTATTTATGCGCTATAAATTTCCACTAATACGTTCAACGAGGGTGTTTTTGGGTAGTTTTCTCATGTTTTTATGTATTTTAACAAATGTGGTTAATTGAAATATTTTCTGATAATCTTTAACCATTTCTGAAAATAGGAATAATTTTTGTTAACTTTTCATTTCTTTGTCTTTTTTCCTCTTGTGTAGTAATTACACAGAATCACAGAATCATAGGGGTTGGAAAGGACCTCTGGAGATCATCTAGTGCAGTTGTCCTGCCAGAGCAAGTTCATTGCTTTCTTTCTGCAAGAAAAAAAAAAAATATCCACACTTTCTGCTGCTTAAAAAATAGATTTTAAATAGAAGTCTGCTTTACAGAACAAGAAGCTAAGTCCTGCAGGGCTGTCCCCCTGAGATGTCCCATTCATGTTACCACTTCAGTAGTAACGATATATTCTGCTCTGATGTCTTACACTGCCAAAACCATTAATTGGTCTGTTGTTTGTTTTTTATTTTTTGGTTTTTGTTTGAAAAAAAAAAAATATCCACACTTTCTGCTGCTTAAAAAATAGATTTTAAATAGAAGTCTGCTTTACAGAACAAGAAGCTAAGTCCTGCAGGGCTGTCCCCCTGAGATGTCCCATTCATGTTACCACTTCAGTAGTAACGATATATTCTGCTCTGATGTCTTACACTGCCAAAACCATTAATTGGTCTGTTGTTTGTTTTTTATTTTTTGGTTTTTGTTTTTTTTTTCCTCCCTAAACATTGCTTTTAAGGATACTTTTTTGTTATTCTTTTAAACTTCTGGATAGTCTGTGGAATTCATTCATCTTCTGCTTCATATTTAGTCATCTTGCTCAGGACCTCCTTCCCCGTGTGTATCTAAGGAGGCATTGGTTGGTTAGATTCAGCACTTTGTGTCCCTTGGAGTTCTCCAAGCTCATTAGCTTATGCTTCATATTTCAGTTACTTTTTGGCTTGTGCTAGCCATTAGTTCTGACTTTTAACGTGGATTCTGCTGCAGGGCAATGTGCAATTTCCTAAACATGAAAACTCTAAAGTTTTAGATCTTGTCTACACACCACAAAGAAGGGAAGTCTGTCGTGAGTTTCACATTTTTCTTTCGAAGATTGCTATTACAGTCAGTTTATTGGAAAAGAATGAACACGTGGAAAATGCTGTAATTTTACCTGTTTTAGGCCAACATCTGATATCGTATGCCTTGTGGTATATCACTTATGAAAGGTTAGCAGCACAGCAAAATAGCCCAAGTTTTAGCACTTTCAGACACAATGATAAAATGGTTTTTGGATGAGCTTTGTGTATCTCTAATATTTGTTGTTACTCTTAGTAAGTTAGAAGATACATGTATGGTTACTTGCAAACCCTATGGAATTTGTAGTTCTTTTTTTCCTCTGTCTGATAACATTGTAAAACAGGTCTCTTTTCTTTCCTTCTGATAAAAAGTTATAGAAGTTCATGGTAAGGCATCTGTACACTTTCTACATTTTCAGGGTGTTTCCAAATGACTTTTGTTTCATTTTAGTAGCTCCTCTTGATGTTATCAAAACTTGACTGCAAGCCCAAAGCAGTCCATTCTCCACAGGTAAATAAATGTGTAGTGGAATGGAGTTTGCTCCTTTGCTGTTGTATTTAGCAGATAGTTATCATAATGCTGAGCTACAGAATGTTTTCCTTTGTTTCCCAATAGTTATATTTGTTTCTTCAGCATTAAAGGGAGGGAAATGAGCAACATAGCAGTATGTACTGAAATTGCTAAAGAAAAAATTTGTCAATCAACAGACACAGTGGAAAAAAATCCCACAAATACATACTATTTTAAACAGGATTTTTTTTCCTTAGTATTTTCATTGTGGCAGAAGGTACAGCTATTAGTGAGTTGAGTTTCAAAAAAATTTTACTATTTTATCAGAGTGCTGTTGATGTATCTTACTCCAGGTGCTACTCCAGGTTCTTCCATGTCATGCTGTTTAAATTTGAGTATTGTATGAATTTGCATACTGTATGAATTTAACATCCTGTATGAATAGTATGGATAAAATTAACATACAATTACTTAAACCTAATAATTACATCTGAAGTGACTGTCTCTGATTTTTAAAAATACTTTTCTGTGGCACTGTGTATTTTGTTTTCTTGTGCTGTGTTGAGTTCCGCAGAGGGACTGTACATCAGCTGGGGCAGCTGTGAGGAAAATTGTCACTAGAAATGGGATTACTGGATTATTTGCTGGTAGATCTTTTTATATCTTTTGAAAAAAACTCAGACTAGAGAGAAGGTTTTTTAATCACGAACAAGTGATTATAGATGTTAACATGCATAAATTATATAATATTACTATCTCTGAACACTCTCAGCTATGGACTAGTTTGTATATATAAAGCAACAGATGTGTCTCTACGTACAGAGAGAGTTTGGGCGATCTCTTCACAAGTTACTAAGATACAGCTGCCAAAGATGGCCACAATTTCTTTAAAAAGTAGAGGTGTTGGGCTCAACAAATACATCTGTGTTGGCAGTTAGAAACGGTGGGAAAAGGTTCAGTTCAGGAAATAGTTTTTTCAAATTGAAATAATTTGTTGATTTCTTAAACTGTAATACTTGGGGTTCTCAGAACGAATTGGTACAAAGGAAATGAATGGCTCGTAGGTTTGGAAGCTGCAGTGGGGAGGTGTTTCTGGGCTGAGAAAGTTTCTTAGATGCAGTTTTTAGCCCAGTGCTAAAAATTGCCAACCTGTCAGTATCGTTGCAGCACCCGGACACAGGAATAGCCAGCCTCATTTTTGTTCTTCATCTCATACTGGTTTCTACACTCACTGGTTTTGGTTCTTTCTGTCTCAGAAACAGAGCTTAAGCTTCAGTGGTATTTTTCTGTTTCCCTTCCTGGTCTTTGAAGAAGCTGCATTATTGAGAAACCAAGAAATGGGAGTATGGAATAGATATTTTGAAGTAGAATTCACATCATAAAATTGGCTTGTGAATGCCAGGCTGGGATAGATCCCATCTCTCCTGTGATGCCGTCGTTTTAAGTGGACTTTAATGCAGGCTTGTACAGAGGACTGGAAGATGCGGGGATTTTATTAGTATTTGTTTGCTAGATGGGAGTAATCATGTCAAATACTGTATAATATTTGGAGCATTCAAGGTGTTTCTGGGCTGAGAAAGTTTCTTAGATGCAGTTTTTAGCCCAGTGCTAAAAATTGCCAACCTGTCAGTATTGTTGCAGTGCCTGTACACAGGAATAGCCAGCCTCATTTTTGTTCTTCATCTCATACTGGTTTCTACACTCACTGGTTTTGGTTCTTTCTGTCTCAGAAACAGAGCTTAAGCTTCAGTGGTATTTTTCTGTTTCCCTTCCTGGTCTTTGAAGAAGCTGCATTATTGAGAAACCAAGAAATGGGAGTATGGAATAGATATTTTGAAGTAGAATTCACATCATAAAATTGGCTTGTGAATGCCAGGCTGGGATAGATCCCATCTCTCCTGTGATGCCGTCGTTTTAAGTGGACTTTAATGCAGGCTTGTACAGAGGACTGGAAGATGCGGGGATTTTATTAGTATTTGTTTGCTAGATGGGAGTAATCATGTCAAATACTGTATAATATTTGGAGCATTCAAGGTTATGCAACAACTATTCCCCAAGAATTTTTTCCTTTAAGTTTTCTGTCAAACTGTGGAATAGATATTTTGAAGTAGAATTCACATCATAAAATTGGCTTGTGAATGCCAGGCTGGGATAGATCCCATCTCTCCTGTGATGCCGTCGTTTTAAGTGGACTTTAATGCAGGCTTTTACAGGGGACTGGAAGATGCGGTGATTTTATTAGTGTTTGTTTGCTATATGGGAGTAATTATGTCAAATACTGTATAATATTTGGAGCATTCAAGGTTATGCAACAACTATTCCCCAAGAATGTCCCTGTGAAGACCCCGTTTAGCCATGTAATTCCTTGATGGCGTCGTTTTAAGTGGACTTTAATGCAGGCTTGTACAGAGGACTGGAAGATGCGGGGATTTTATTAGTATTTGTTTGCTAGATGGGAGTAATCATGTCAAATACTGTATAATATTTGGAGCATTCAAGGTTATGCAACAACTATTCCCCAAGAATGTCCCTGTGAAGACCCCGTTTAGCCATGTAATTCCTTGATGGATTTTATTTCTTTTCTTGTACGGGCTCTCTTAAAGCCTGTCTTAGTATTTTTGATAGCTTTGGCAAAGATCACTTTTCAGCCCTGGACTATGTGCAGTAGTTGTTGCTACTGCTGTGAAGAGCATCAGAAGACATCTTAGCCATTGGAACCCTGCATATTTATAGGACAGAAAAGAAACCCCCAGGAATACCTTCTGGTGTCTTTTTCAGATCCTGGCAACTCTCTGAAACCAGTGGGTCCTACCTAATAGCATGACCTAATTCTTGGTACTAACTCAAGGCCTCCAGCAATGAAGCTGGCCATTTTCCTGAGAAGTTCAGCAGGAAATATCATTCCTCCTTTTCATCATTATGGCGCGATTTTAAGAGGACTTCCTGGCATCAAGGAGTGATCTTAGAGGCTCCCAAGACCTTGGAATCATGGAACCACAGAACTGTTTTAAGAGGACTTCCTGGCATCAAGGAGTGACCTTAGAGGCTCCCGAGACCTTGGAATCATGGAACCACGGAGCTGTTGGAGTTGGAAGGGACCTTCTAGAGCCCATCCAGTCCAACTCCCCGGCCAAAGCAGGGCTGCCCAGAGCACATCACTCAGGAGCATCCAGGCGGGGCTTGAAGATCTCCAGAGAAGGGGACTCCACACCCTCCCTGGGCAGCCTGTCCCAGGGCTCTGCCACCCTCACCCCAAACAAGTTCTTCCTCACATTGGAGTGGAACTTCCCATGGTCCAGCTTGTGCCCGTTGCCCCTCGTCCTGTCACTGGGAACCACTGAGAAGAGTCCGGCTCCATCCTCCTTCAACCCACCCTTTAGATCCTTGTCAGCATGAAGAAGGTCTCCCCTCAGCCTTCTCTTCTCCAGGCTCAAGAGCCCCAGCTCTCTCAGCCTTTCCTCATCAGGGAGATGCTCCAATCCCTCCATCATCTCTGTTGCCCTACGCTGGACTCTCTCCAGCAGTTCCCTGTCTCTCTTGAACTGGGGAGCCCAGCACTGGACGCAGGATTCCAGTTGTGGCCTCCCCAGTGCAGAGCAGAGGGGGAGAATGACCTCCCTCCACCCACTGGCCACACTCTTCCCTACGCAGCCCAGGATCCCACTGGCCTCTTGGCCACAAGGGCACATTGCTGGCTCATGGAGAGTTTACTGTCACAACACCACCTGGAATGGAACACGCTTCTGCATCCCCAATGTGTTATAGCAGGTCATTTACCTGTTTTGGGACCCTTGTTGTGGCTTTCTCAGTGAAAGAGCAGCACCAAGAATGTTCAGTTTGATCCTGCACTCAAGTTCCTCCCACCTACCTATAACTAAACTTTCTTCCACCATGGAAAGGATGGTGGATGCTTGTGAGTTTTGCTTCACGCTGCTCAGTCCCTGATTCACATCCAAGTGAATGTGAATATGGAGGCTCCTGCGTTACATTTCGGGAGGGCACAGGCCTGCCGTGCTGTTGTTACCAGGGAATGGAGTTCTGTGAGACCTGTCATCCAGAAGTGCCCTCACTCCTGCCTCCTCTCCCTTTCCTGCGTTCTGGCTGAGTGGGAATTCAGAGGGAACTGGGGTGGTGCTGGCGTGTCCCACCCCGTGCAGCAGAGTGTGCACCAGGCGGGCTGGGATCGCCACCAGGTGTGACAGGAACTCAGAGTTTTGGCCTCGTGTGACAGTGTAAGTGGGTATGCACAGTGTGAGTATTCAAGCTGATTACACACCCTCAGGAATTCAAATTACTGGTTCATGTCTTTTTGTGAAGACAACTGTCATTCAGTGAACGAAAGCAAACCTGTACCTGGGGTGAGCCTTTGCCTTTGTTGAGTGCCTACCTTCAGGTAGTTCTGTCCGTAGCTCCCTGCCCTGAGTATCCCCAGACTGGAACAGTGTCACTTCATGACTAAACTGCTTTTAAAGTGTTTTGCTTTTGAATAACCTCCTTTCTGTGTATGGGTACCAGGGACTGCAAATTCAACCCTGACTGTATAGAACATGCTCATAGTCACACAGTGCTCTTGGCTTCCTGCGTGCCCACCTCGGGATGCCCATCTCCCTCAGCTTCCTTCCTTCCCCACTGCTGCCTGTCCAGTTCCACCCACGGCCTTCTCCCAGGAAAGAGGGTCCCTTGTCTTTCTGTCTTCAGCAAGTCGACCCGATGCCAAGGCTGCTGTGGAAGGGCTGGGACAGTCCCCGCTGTTGCCAGGCACAGAAGTCCTCTCTGATGCACGTGTGTTGTCGTCTGAGCGGCAGCCTGAGGAGGAAATGACAAGAGAGTGAGATTAAAATGATACAGAGATCAAAGCCTACGGCAGTTCATACTTAAACGAACAAGAGATGTTCCAAACCCAAGAGGTGGGCGAGTGGTGACAGCACTGCGTGGGTTCATTGGGGTTCTCCTTGGGATGGCCACACAGCGGCTGGAGACCACCGCTGTTGCCAGGCACAGAAGTCCTCTCTGATGCACGTGTGTTGTCGTCTGAGCGGCAGCCTGAGGAGGAAATGACAAGAGAGTGAGATTAAAATGATACCGAGATCAAAGCCTACGGCAGTTCATACTTAAACGAACAAGAGATGTTCCAAACCCAAGAGGTGGACGAGTGGTGACAGCACTGCGTGGGTTCATTGGGGTTCTCCTTGCAATGTCCACGCAGCCGGCTGGAGACCAGCAGGACCTGTGTTTGCTGGAAGGTGCTGTGTGTGTTGCTGTGCAGCCGGGACGTGGCTGGGCCCCAGGAGCGGGGTGTCTGGGCGCAGCGGTGCCGGCAGAGCGCGTGACGTGATGGAGCATCAGTACCATCACCCGGTGTGAGTGGGGTGTCGTTCACAGCTGCGGTACTTCCCTGTAGTTCTTGGCACGTGCGTCACGGGGCACAGAGACATTCCCTCCCTCGGGTGGGTGAGATGCCCGTTCTGCCAGGCTTCCTGCTGCTGCTCCCAAGGGACACAAGTTTTCCATAGTTATGTGCCATCCCCACCAGCACCATAAAAACATCTCCGTGTTTCAGGTGGAAGCAGACGGCTGCGTGTAGATGAGTAGATTCAGCCTTATGTCCCTCCCTCTAAGTAAGCTGAATCGCTTCCTAAACTCTGCTGAGACAGCGCAGGGGAGTCACTTTGTCCTTACCAGCTGGCTTGAGGGGCTCAGGCAGACACCAGCGGCAGAGGGCACAGCCCAGCACAGGCCTCAAGCCCTTTCCTCCCAGACTTTATCCGTTTCAGAGCTTCCTAAACCTCTTGTTGTCCCACCTGAGAGGCCACGAGCCTCCGCCTGTCCCACCGGAGCAGCGAGTTGGTGCTGACCCTTAGCAGAGGGCAGTGTCTGCGCCCAGGGACAGCTCTTCTGTGACAGAGCAAAGCAGCCCCGCAGGCCGGGCCACGGTGCTCTGGAGACACGGGGGGGACAGAGCAAAGCAGCCCCCACAGGCCGGGCCACGGTGCTCTGGAGACACGGGGGGGACAGGGGAAGGGTGGGCTCCGGGCAGGTGGGTCCCACCACCCATCAGAGGTGAGCACACGGGGTGATTTGCGGTGGTGGTCTCTGCAGACAGCAATTCCAGTATTTGAGGGCAGGCAGAGGTAGAATCCTGGCTCCAGGCCCATCCCCTGGGGTACATGGAGAGCAGATCTGTCTGAGAACCAACAGCAGCCATCGCAGGTGTCCTTCCAAAGCTGCTCCTGCCGGTGCCGGAACGATCGGCACGTATGGATATGGAAAGTCTTTCTTTTCTCATTTAAATGGAAAAAAATGAACCAACATCCTTAATTCTCCTTGTGTGAAGTCAAAACACACGGTGAGGTATATAGTGCCAAATCTGTCAAGGCATTTTCTGGAATTAACACTGAATTTCTGCTGTTACGGTTGGTAACTAAATACAACTTTATTTTTAGCTGTTTTACAAAGGATAGAAATCACTAATTTTTTTTTCTAAAGACTAAGAAAATAAACGTGACCCTTAAACTATCATTGAAGATTTTCACTGAATTTCACTGAATTTCTAGAGTTGGAAGGGACCATAGAGATCATCTAGTCCAACTCCCCTGCTGAAGCAGGATTGCCCAGAGCTAGAGCATGTTACTCAGGAGCATCCAGGCGGGTTTTGAAAATCTCCAAGGAAGGGGACTCCACACCCTCCCTGGGCAGCCTGTTCCAGGGTTCCGTCACCCTCACCGTGAAGAAGTTTCTCCTCGTATTTGAGTGGAACCTCTTATGTTCCAACTTGTGCCTTTGTGACTTCTTTTGCAGCTAGAGAGAAAAAAAGAAAGGAAAGCAGCTGGGGGGATGGGGAGGTGCTCTGGCTGTTCTGCAGTGATGAGTAAAAGGCAAAAAAATTCCAGCTGCACAAAGCAACGAAGAGTAACTTCCACTGTGCTAACCTGCAGTCTGACTAAGGGTTTTTGTTAGGTATTTAAAATGACATTTAGAAAAGTTTTGGGCTTCCAGCTATATATGATTATTCCTTCATAAGAAGGCTGATACAGAATGAATTCAATAGATGTTTATTTATTCTTGCTTAATGCGTGTTTAATTCCACAGACACAGAGCTGTCACTGCTATCGACAGGCGCACCATCTCCCTTGCCCAAAGGCACTTGACTTGCTCAAGCAGTTTCCTCTGTGTGGTTTGGTTTTCTTTTTATTCAAATTATCTTTTTAACTGCCCTCACTCTACCCCTTCTTTCCTGCATTTTCAGTGAAGTGGTTGGATTTCATTTTTTCGCATATTTTAACCAGGGGTGCTGCTGGTACAAAAGAAGCCAGTAGTTGGGTCATTAAGACACCAACTTTCAGTCATGCCTGACCCAAGAAATGGACTCTGCTCCTGTCCTGCTGTGAAGGAGGAGGAATATTTGACACTGTTCCCCCCTTGTGATTTTCGAAGTAATTTTACACTGTAACTGCAAAATAAGGCCTAAGAGAAAGAAAGCAGTAACAGATTCTGGACCACGTTGAATGAAACAGCAACAAACCCCCAGTCTCCCTGTTCTGCAAGAAAAGGATTTGCTGTAAACTCAGCAATGCTGTAATTTGTCAAATGGTCTAATTTTATCCTGTATGATTAAAACAGAGCCAAAACCTAGTAATTAGTGATGATACAAAATGTTTAATTTACATGCAACATTTATGGAACGTCAAGGCAACAAAACATACAGTTTTGGCATTTTTTAAATTTTGTTTTTTTTTTTGAAAAATGCTTAACGTTTGAAACGGAGAAGGACACAGGTAACTGACTTCCCATGCACAGAGTGACACCCCCGGCGGTGTCAGACCACAGAAAAGACTTCAGCTGAACGACACATGAATCTCACAGCAGCAGCTCCAAGAAATGAGCCATCAACAAACATGACTGAAGATCATGATTATTCCCCCCTCCAAAAAACCGACGTAACGGGAGAAGCGTGTAACAGCAAACGAGACCAATTCAATCACTGTACCTTGATGGAGAATGTCAACTTTTGGAACTCGGGTTCCCTCACTGTATTTGTAGTAAAAATGCATCTCTGGTTTACAAATCAGTATTTCATAACGTTCCTCAACTGCCAGGAGAGAAGAGGTGCTTAATGCGGTAACAGAACACCCCAGTCACATGAAGCAATGGACGTGCTGACAGTGTGTGGAAGGATTTAATGGTCAGAGTTTATTACAGAAAAATTAACTGAGTGGGTACACAAGGGCTTGAAAGACAAGGTCTGGTGCATTTTGCTGAGCTGCTTTAGAAATCTGCATTTTGGTGGCACCAGCAGGTGTTTGCCCACCCGGCTGTGGCTGCGGTGACCTCCGGCAGCGTGGGCTGAGGAGGTGGATCCTGAACCTCCTCCAGCTCGATCCGTCCCAGAGATGCACAGCCTCACACTTGGGAAGGTTCAACATGTCCTGCAGTTCTCAGCACAGGTCAGAATGACTCCTCCCTTTCTTTCAAGCCCGCCCAGGGGTGAGCAGAGAACAGCAGTAGTGCCCAGGTACCGGTACAAGAGGCAGCTCAAACCGTGGGGAGGGGAGTGACATACTGTAAACAGCCAAGAGTAAGCCATAATTAAAAATCTGTCTTGTATTGCAGCTACTCATGTAAACAATTTATGAAACTTCTTTGGCACAAAAAAGCATTTTCCCTAGCACTTATAAATACAACGTTCTTACATGCATTTAAGTTTTGTTTAAAAAGGTACTAATCATACTGATAAGCGTTACCTTGATTAGCAAAGTTCATAGATAAAGGATCCAGTGTATCTTACAAAGAATTAAGAATATAGTTTGCAATTCAAAAACTAATTTGCAAACTTTGAAACTGTAGGGTAATCTGGAAAGTTAGTTTCATTTTAAAAAAGTCTCTTTTTTTTTATTGGTAATTTAAATCAATGGCAAGTAATTTGAGAAAACTGACTTAAATAAGTTCTGCTGTATTACCTAATTAAGAAAAATACCTATTGCACTACTACAGGAATGAGAAAAATCTTTAACATGAGAATCTTGTCATTACATTGTCTTTGTTTCCCCTTTTTCACCCTCCTTGGGATCTTGCCAGTAAACACAGAGTCCAAGTTTCCCAAGGTGCCAACCCCCCCATCCTTGCTCCTCACCTTTCCAGCAAGGCCAAGAAACCAAGACATTTCTCATATAATGTTTGTTGCTGCTTTTATAATCTTGTGTATCTGTAACTCAGGTGACTCAAAAGCATTGAGTTTCCCCAACGTCTACAAATTGCTAAGGATGCTCGATTTAGCTGATGAACTTACATTTGTTATTCACATGCAACTTCAAGAGTCAGTGCGAGTGTTTGAGTGTGATTCTCCAGACATCCCCTACGTGCCATGATACTAACAGGAACGGCGAAATCTAACATCCAGTCAACTTGAGAAGAGCTGTTGATAGGTTAAATATGCTCTTGGAGGTTCTACATACACAGATGACAAGCTGGATTTTTAGATAAAATATTTGCCTACAAAGCCTGGTGGGAAGGACTCCCTGCCTGCTCCGCAAGAGCTGACTGGCAGATATTTAAAGCACTGCAGAGAAGCACCGTGGTGAGAGTAGGGCCAGGCCATTGCAAGGAGAAACAAAGGTCATGACAGTTAAGTAGGGGACTGATTTCCAACAGCTTAGTTTTAAAAATCAGTCATAAGCATCAGATTATATGTCCTGTACCTGACCAGGAGCTTTAAATAATTCAAGGCTAAAATAGAAAATCTGAGAAGTCCTCTGGGGGGAAAAAAAGTTTGAATGAAAACTGAGAGAATCTGTGAATGAAACAAGGGAACCATGAAAAGAAAAAATAAACCAGCTTATTTTTAAACTCAGAACTAGCAGTCCTCATTGCAAGTCATTTTATGGAACATAACCCAAATGCATACGACACAAAGCTCTTCTTTCTTGTGTGTATCTCAAGATGGTGTTAAGCCTGGACTTGTCATCTCTGTGGTGGGACTTGCAAGATATTCACTGGATTTCAGGCTCGTGAGAGACTTGTAGCTTGCTACTGATGTGAGAGAGCCACAGAGACCGAGCAGCGACGGGGTGTCTTCCTTCCCTGGGAAGAAAAACAAGAATTAAGCTAAACATTTTTACTGCACAAGATGACCCAAAAAAACCTGAGGGAATAGAAGAAGCGGTTTCACTTGCACTATGATGAATGACGTGGAAGTGCTTCAGTGAAATTCACAACTGCCATTAGGAAGACACATAATTTCTGCCGTGGCTTCCCTGTCCAGGTGGGAAAGAGGTCCCTGCCTCCTGGAGGCTGGGCTGGAGTGAGTCTGCAGGGGAGGCTCAGAGCTCCCCTGGCTGCAGGGTGAGCTGAGGGCACTGATTCAAGCACTGGTTTTAGGGGAGCACAGCACATACACACAGGAGTGACGTTACGCACACGTTAGTACCACAGATCTAATTCTAAATCTCTCAGAAAGGAGTAGAATTAACTGGAAGCAGGATGTATTTCTTTAAACTTTTTTTTTTTTTAAACCTTGGTCTTTTGAAGCCCGTTGGGCTCTGAGCACTGGCAATGAGCCCCACGGTGCAGAGAGGCAGAGCAGGCGCCCTCCATCCCAACACACCTGAGGGTTAACAGGAAACAGACCTATAGGGGTAAGACTGCATTGGACAATGGATCTATTTATTTTATCTCTTCCCTTCTCAGAACATCCCTTCAAGTTATTTTGTGCTAACTCTGCTAACAAATTACATTATAACAAATCTCATCTACCAGCATCTCCCTATTTCATCCTCCTGGCTCACCTGCAGAATAGAAAAGATGCCTTAAACTAGAGATTAAAATGAACCTTAAAAGGTCACAGGCACAAGATTTTATTGATGAGCCAGTCTACCAGATTAAAAAAAAAAACAACAACAACACATATCTATAAAGTTAGCATTTCTTAAAATTGTGTCTCCTGTTCCTGACAGAAAAGTTTTATTCTTGTTGGGAGGATGTAAGAAAAAAACTGAAAGCACCCAAACCGTGCCCTGCACAACAATTCATTCTGGAAAAAAAATAAATAAGTGACTCATAGTTCTCTTGCATAATTTATGGTTCTTATTAGCAGTTTCCAGTAGGTTTTAGGTCTCCCCTCTACTGAGCTTTTTTTTAAGTGACTGAGTAGCTTTCCCTAAAGAATGAACTAGTTTAGCTCTTTTAAAAAGTCTTCACTTTCAGAAAAATCTGTATTATTCCCCTAATAACTGCCCTTTCAAGCCCACATGCAATAACCCAGAGGGCAGTGTCACGCTGCTCAGGCACAGCCCTTGGTTTCAACAAGTGAGAACTAAAAATCTGACCACATGAGATGAGTGGGCTTCATAGTAACATGAAAGTTTACTACTCCCAATCTTGTAATTAAAACTGCCACACAGAGAGTTAGACCAGAGGTTTTTTAACAGCAGAGTCACATGCCATGGCTTACAAAATTATGTCAAAGCTTTGCTACTGATGAACCTCAGTAATTTAGAAGGGAGATGTTATGCTAAAGACAGAGTGTTGAAATCAAAACCTAAACTATTACCGTCAGTGGTTTTGCCACACTTTAATTTACAGAAGATAAACATAAATCCAAACAATTAATATTGCAAAAAACCAGTTGAAAGTAGATCTGTACAAGAACTCTCTTCGTAACAGTCACGCTGATTCTATTTCACTTCTTCCAAGCTCCCGTGAAATAATTTAGATTTTAAGACTGTTTACAGTTTTAAAAGAAGTTTTGAATGTTACATTCTTGATACTTAAAAACCAAGACATTTTAAAATTATGAACTCTGTATTGTCAAGTCTATTTGAAGTTAACATTTGGTGAAATAGAGAAAGGACTTTTTGCAGTAATTTATGCTCACAATTGCCCACGAGATGGAGCAGCGAAGCTTTGCTGAAGGTACAGCCTTTGGAAGAGGTGTGTGCACATCACACACTGGCATCTTGCTCTCTCTAGTAACAGAAACACTGTGGGGCTGCAGCTCCACAGACAATGTTGAAAGCAAGGTGTAAGAACCACAGTGGTAGCTGCAAATCCAGTGCCTTTAATCTTTCTTTTAAGAAACAAAAAAAGGAAAGTTAAAGAACTGAAAAGATTTGAGTTAGTTATAGCAGAAAGATGACAGAAGATCCTCCTTGTAGCTGAGCTGTCTCTGGTTCTATGATGGACAAGGAAGAAAAAGCAACATATTTGAAGCTTAAATTTGAAGCTTTAAATACAGCATGAAGTCTGACAATTATTGGGGGGTGGGCATCTTCACATATCCAAACTTATTTGAAGAATAGTCATTAGGGAAACTAAAAAAAAAAATGCGTAACAATGAAAAAATATGCTGTTCAATGCATGTTTTACTTACACTGAAAATTCATCTCATAGGGACTGAAGATCAGAGCTAGGAAGAATAAAATAAAATGAAGCCACTAGACTGGCCCTGTACCTTCATTTAACAAGTTCATTCCATCCTGCTTCCGGTCCTGGGAGTGACCTGGGTCCAGAGAGGACTGAGACAGACTGACTTCTGCTGAAAGTTGGTCCAGACTTTGAAAACTTTTCCTGCAAAGCAAGTAATATTTAATAGTACCACATTTAAAGATCTAACCAGGCATTTTCAATTCACCTTAAAAAAATTTCTAAAAAAAACCACCAAAACCAAACCAAAGCCCTAGGCGGTTTATCTTTCTCCTCTTAAACACACTCTTTTTATTTGTTTCCTAAAACACTGTTTTTTCCTAAAGCAATTATTTCCTTTTTTTTCCCCCTCCTCCCCCTCCTAAATTAATCCAAAGGATGGAAATTTTTACAGTGAGAGAAACTGGTTTGTTTTTGTTTTTGTTTTTTTTTTGCTGCCAGCTGATCCTTGTACATTGTAACAGTCAATTCCAATAGGATACATTTCAGAGTATGCTAAGGGAAAATGGATAATTTTGAGTTTCCCTGTTCCTCTAAAGGTGAATCAAAATAAATATTCAGCTTACTCATCCCATTGTTGATTGTGCTTTCTGTAGAGCAGAGTGTCCAAGGCAACAGCATTGACATCCAGAGCTCCTGGGGAAGGCCACTGATTGGTGAGGTGAGTAGTTAATTCTTGTCTTGATCTCAAGTCATTATTCTTTAGCACAGTCCTGGGAATACAAAAAGCAGTAAATGTCAGTCGATTAAATGCAATTCCTTAAGGTGCAGAAAGAAAACCAGGACCAACAGAGTCACCAACAGATTGCAATTTTGACAAAGCATCGTAAACTGATAGTTTTTTTTTCTAGGGGAAGCAACTTAGAAATGTACCGAGATGTATTTAGGAACAGAAAAAAGTTGAAATTTTCCGCAAAAGCAATAAAAAAGCAGCTGCTTTCTAAAGATTCTTTCTGGCAGCATGATGGCAACTAACAGGCCAACTATTTTACAAACCAGCAATGGGGAATCTGATGTCCTTCCCTCCTCTTCCTTCCCTCCCACAAATACTTTTTTCAGTTTGAGCACACACAACCCATCCCCCAGTACTTCTGCAGACTGAACTAAATCCCAGACATGTTAATTCCATCAAATACTTCCAGGTAAAATACAACACATAGTTATTCTGTTTTCTACTACCTTATGGTTTCTAGTAATTTATGTTTTTAAATTACAGAAAATGTGTTGTCTGCTTCATGGGAATATGAGGGACTCAGTTCAGTTTTCTAAAATTCTGGAAATGAGGAAGTTAATATGCCAATATTGGAAAACATCTGCCAAAAGTCATGCAGAAATAAGGGAAGTCCATGGTTCTTCAGGCTCCAAGACGAGATCAGCCTTTTTCCAACAGTACAAGGAAACCTCCAACCTACCCCGATTCTGCTGTAGAGCAACTCCAGAAACAGAGGGAATACTGCTTTTTTAACCCATAAATCCTCCAATCCATGAAATACTAGGCACTAGGAAAATGCTCCTTTACAACAGGTTTGACTATATCTGGCCTGAAGCAAGTAACTAACATTATGTATCTTCATGCCAAATTTACTCAGGAGCTCCAAGCCAAATGCCACGTTGTTATCTGAAATGCCAAACCGCACAGCAAATTAAATAACTAGTCATGGTACACATGCATTGATGTGAATTCACAAGTAACATGGTCAATAGGTCTATTTTTACCACCAGAATAAAAACTACATTGTATCTGAACTGTTTAGACAAGAACCTCACCATGGACCCATAACACCACCCAAAGAGTCAAGATTTCCCACAAAACGAGGTAAGACAATGGCAAGTTGAGTGAGGAATTTTCAGTAGCTGGTTTTGGGAGAGGAGACAGATGCACAGCAATTCTGCAAGCACCACATGAAGCACCACGGTGAACAAAACTATTTCCAAGAAGCCTTTCTCAAGATGTCAAATTTCCCTAGCACTCATGCATGGGAACAATTAGCTTTTCTCCCTGGGCATCTCCTCCCGCCCACCGCTGTCCTCTCTAAGGGTTCTGTAGGAATAACCACTTTGAGAACCCAAACTCCTCAAGACTTTAAAGTATCTTGTATCAAGTATTCAAGATACGCGAAGTATCAAGTATTGCATACGTCCCCATGCAGTTCCCCTAACCCCATGGGGTACATGGAGCATTAAACAAGCCCGTTAAAGGCGTGTTGATTGGAGGGAACACCCACCTGGCAAGTTCTCGTGAGGTTTTCCAGTGACACCACTGAATTTCACTGAATTTTCACTGAATTTTTTTAGAGTTGGAAGGGACCATAGAGATCATCTAGTCCAACTCCCCTGCTGAAGCAGGATTGCCTAGAGCTTGTCAGAGCATGTTACTCAGGAGCATCCAGGCAGGTCTTGAAAATCTCCAGAGAAGGGGACTCCACACCCTCCCTGGGCAGCCTGTTCCAGGGCTCTGTCACCCTCACCGTGAAGCCAATCCATGAAATACTAGGAACTAGTAAAATGCTCCTTTACAACAGGTTTGACTATATCTGGCCTGAAGCAAGTAACTAACATTATGTATCTTCATGCCAAATTTACTCAGGAGCTCCAAGCCAAACACCACGTTGTTATCTGAAATGCCAAACTGCATAGCAAATTAAATAACTATTCATGGTACACATACAGTGATGTGAATTCACAAGTAACATGGTCAATAGGTCTATTTTTACCACCAGAATAAAAACTACATTGTATCTGAACTGTTTAGACAAGAACCTCACCATGGACCCATAACACCACCCAAAGAGTCAAGATTTCCCACAAAACGAGGTAAGACAATGGCAAGTTGAGTGAGGAATTTTCAGTAGCTGGTTTTGGGAGAGGAGACAGATGCACAGCAATTCTGCAAGCACCACATGAAGCACCACGGTGAACAAAACTATTTCCAAGAAGCCTTTCTCAAGATGTCAAATTTCCCTAGCACTCATGCATGGGAACAATTAGCTTTTCTCCCTGGGCATCTCCTCCCGCCCACCGCCGTCCTCTCTAAGGGTTCTGTAGGAATAACCACTTTGATAACCCAAACTCCTCAAGACTTTCAAGTATCTTGTATCAAGTATCCAAGATAGGCGAAGTATCAAGTATTGCATGTGTCCCCATGCAGTTCCCCTAACCCCATGGGGTACATGGAGCATTCAACAAGCCTGTTAAAGGCGTGTTGATTGGAGGGAACACCCACCTGGCAAGTTCTCGTGAGGTTTTCCAGTGACACCACATCACTGCCTTACCCAGAAGGACATCTTCTGGGCTTTCATAGAGGTTTAGTAACGGGACACAGTTTGTATTAGTAACTATGCACACGGTAACTCAATGCACAAGTTTCCCAATGAGGATGTTATGGGAGACAGTGTCAAAAGCCTTGCTGAAGTCAAGGTAGATGACATCTGCTGCCCTCCCCTCATCCAACCAACCGGTTATGGCATCATAGACACCACATCACTGCCTTACTCAGAAGGACATCTTTCTTTCATAGAAGTTTAGTAACGGGACCCAGTTTGTATTAGCAACTATGCACACGGTAACTCAATGCAACACCATACACATAGAACACATACGTGTAAATTCCCCCTTGGACAACTCCTGTGTGTTATCACCACGTGACTTGGCAGCAGGGTTAAGCTGTTATTAAATCAGTGTGCTGAGCAAAGCTGACAAAACCACACATCTACAGGCAAGATGCTAATAGGGGAATTCTGGCATTTTATGTAGGTCTCTATATTGAGGTTTTTCCCTCAAATCTTTAACCTGAAATTTCACCCTTTGTATGGATAAAGAAATTCTGAAACAAAATCTAACTAAGGTGCTCCGGGGATTTTAGCATAACAACATTTAAAGGCAGTTCTAGTAGATCAGTACTTTAACCACTTCACCGTGCTCAGGAAAAAAAACACAAACCAGCCATCAAGTAGGACACAGAAGTAACTATTCCCCTCTTAAAATTACTATGCTTTCATTTTGAATCTTTAAAAATATGTAAAAAGAATTTGGAATGTATAAAATCAGTCCAAACACAGTATTCAGTAAATATAAAATAGTAGTATAGATGATAGGAAGTTAGAGAAAATATTCCCAGCAGGTGCTGGTAGGTACCACCTATTTTTTTCCGCCTTAAGGATTATTTGGTTCTTGGCTCTCCTGCAGCCATTTGGGAAGCATCATGAGATTCCACTGAAGCAAAGACTTCTCACAAGCACTGCCTTGTGCAAACAGCAATTCTCTCAAGATAAACAGAGGCAGTATCAAGTCACTCATATTTAACCAGACTTATTTTAAGAATCAAAGTACTAAACTGCACAGAATCGTGGAATTGTTTAGGTTGGAAAAGACCCTTAAGATCATCAAGTCCAACTGCAAACCTAACACTGCCAAGTCCACCACTAAACCATGTCCCCAAGCCCCATGTCTACACAGCACGCATCATCCTGAAACTCTCACTCACCACGAGGCAAAACCAACCCTGCTACAAATATTTAAAAACAGGAAAAGAAGTGGAGACAAAAGCCTTAACTATAGAAAACAGTTAAAAAGGAAGGAAAAAGGATCAAATTTTAGTGAAAAAAGCACATAATCTTTGCACAAGATTATTGAGTGCTGTCCTACTTCTGAGAGACAAGAGGAGTTCTTTCTAGAAATTAAGAGCTCTCAAAAGACAACAATTTGTTTTACCCAAGGCAGATCCCATTTCCACAGCAGCACTTCTGTTCCTCAAAATGCAGACACTGTTCCTAGTGTTGGCCAATTCCAGGCTGCCATACTGCAGAGTTTGAACTAGGCCTTTTCTTAGAGATCACAATTAAGTGCAATGAAGATTATGAACTTTCCTCTATATGTTTACTGTCAGGTTGTTTAACCAAAGGAAGAATATTGCTATTAAAACCTATTTATCTGCTGGTATAGCAAAATAAGTTTGGCATATAAAAGCTTTCAGAGGAAAAGTTAGAATAAAGTCTTCATAGAACAAAATAAGAAATGAAGAATTGGTAGATAGGTACGGATGGCAAATAGGGATGTTTGTGACATCTACAAGTTTCACAAAATATTAAAGAATAAGATGTAAAATTAGCATTTTCTGTTATTCGCACACACATAAAAAAAAGGAACTACTGAACTCTTTGGGCCTTGACTAGGAAATATTTCAAAAGCGTTACCAAAAGTTCACATAAAAATAATGTAGTGTAGTATATAAGCTTCTATATAAAACGCCAGTCTCTAGTGAAACATGTGGAACTGGAATAGCTATGTACATTCTTCCTGAAAACAAACCACCGGCGAGAAAACACCAACTGAAAACCAGCATGACCTTAATGCCTGTAGACCAAGACTCAACACCTAGATTTTACCAAGGTTATTACCTCATGACTTATATGGAACGAAATCCATAATACATCATAACACTGAAGATCACAAGTGTGCAGTTCTGTTTTTAAATAAAATTCCATAAAATATTATTCTATTGGTTTTGTAGCAGTGATGATATAAGGATGATGCAAGATAAGGTTTGAATGCAAGATATGCAGTTCCCCTAACCCCATGGGGTACATGGAGCATTCAACAAGCCTGTTAAAGGCGTGTTGATTGGAGGGAACACCCACCTGGCAAGTTCTCGTGAGGTTTTCCAGTGACACCACATCACTGCCTTACCCAGAAGGACATCTTCTGGGCTTTCATA